TTCTGGGCAGAAGCCATTAACACAGCCTGTTATGTAATCAATAGAGCTTTAATTCGTTCAAAATTGAACAAAACCCCTTATGAACTTTGGAAGAACAGAAAACCAAATCTGGGATACTTTCACCCTTTTGGGTGCAAATGCTTTATCCTAAATACCAAAGATAACTTGGGAAAGTTTGACTCTAAGTCTGATGAATCTATCTTCCTTGGGTATTCATCAAACAATAGGGCATTCAGAGTATACAATAAAAGGACCCTCAAGGTAGAGGAGTCCATTAATGTTATTTTTGATGAGTCTGTGAGTAAGATTGCAGATGTTATAGAGGATGATGATGACTTTGGACTTGGAGGGAAACATTTCAAAGAGACTTATCCTGTAGAGAAAGAATCAGCATCAACTGAGACAAACAGAAAGGAGGATGGATTGGAGGCTCCACCTCACATTCAAAGAAGACATCCTCCCTCTCTAATCATAGGTGACCCAAATCAAGGTATGGTCACTCGTTCCAAAGGCTACTCTGAACATACTGCATTTATCTCTAAAATTCTTCCAAAAAACATTCATGAAGCTCTAGAAGATGAATTTTGGACAACAGCTATGCAGGATGAAATGATCAATTTGAAAGAACTAGAGTCCGGGACCTAGTTCCCAAACCTGAAAACAGAACTATAATTGGAACAAAGTGGGTATATAAGAATAAAACTGATGAAATCGACATAATAATAAAAAACAAAGCGTCTTGTAGCTCAGCGATATAATCAAGAAGAAGGGATAGACTTCGATGAAACTTTTGCACCAGTTGCTAGATTAGAAGCCATAAGACTTCTTTGTGCTTATGCTGCAGCTAAAGATTTTAAGTTATATCAAAAGGACATAAAAAGTGCTTTCTTAAATGGTGATCTAAAGAAAGAGGTTTATGTATCTCAACCACCTGGCTTGAAAAGCATGAACATCCAGACTATGTTTACAAACTTAACAAGGCTCTTTATGGGCTTAAACAGGCTCCCAGAGCCTGGTATGACAAGTTGAGTCAGTTTCTGCTAGACGATGGATTTCATAGGGGAAGAGTCGACAAAACCTTGTTTATCAAAAACTCAAATGGTCATACTCTACTAGTTCAAGTTTATGTCGATGACATAATCTTTGGTTCCTCCTGTTCCAAGCTATGTCAGGATTTTGAAAATTGCATGAAAGGGGCTTTCAAAATGAGCTTAATGGGAGAACTCAATTTCTTTCTTGGTCTACAAGTCAAACAAACTGAATCAAGAACATTTATAAACCAAAGTAAATATCTCAATAACATGCTGAAACGGCTTAACCTTGGAAACCTCAAGTCTGCTCCTACACCTATGGGATCAACAACTAAACTCTCAAAGGATGAATCAGGTAAAAGCATAGATCAAAAGCTGTATAGAGGAATGATAGGGTCTTTGCTTTACTTAACAGCAAGTCGACCAGACATAATGTACAGTGTGTGTGTGTGTGTCTGTGCTCGTTTTCAAAGTCTGCCTAAAGAAAGTCACTTATGTGCAGTCAAACGAATTTTTTGTTACTTAGCTGGGACTCCAGACTTAGGCTTATGATACTCTAGACACTCGAGTTTAGATCTGATTAGCTACTCAGATGCAGACTATGCTGGGTGCTTAGTAGATCGAAAAAGCACTTCTGGTGCTTGCCATTTTCTTGGTTCTTCTCTCGTTTCTTGGTTCACCAAAAAACAGAATTCAGTGGCACTATCCACTGCTGAAGCGGAGTACGTTGCAGCTGGATTCTGCTGCACTCAAGTACTCTGGCTGAAATATCAGTTGATTGACTTTGGGGTCTCAATAGGGTCTCTTCCAATTCTATGTGATAACACTAGCACTATTAATATGTTAAAAAATCCAGTTCAACACTCTCGAACAAAACATATTGAAGTTAGGTATCATTTTATTCAAGATCTGGTTCAAGATGAAAAGATTCATCTCGATTTTATAGGAACTGACCGCCAGTGGGCTGATATCTTTACTAAACCACTATCTACTGATCAATTCCTTCTCATTAGGCGAGAATTAGGATTATTATCAATCCAGGATCTGCATAATTTTAGTGAATCAGTCCCTGCTTCTCTTAATTGATACTTCCTTCCTTTTATCTGTACATCACAACGATTCTTTATGTCATAAATACTTACCTTATCATTTCTCTTTTGACCTATAAATCTAGGGTTCATCACCTTCTCCTCTCACTCACCCTCAAAACATTGCTCAACTCCTCCCAAAATTTCTCAATCATGGTGCTTAACAACGCTCAGCTTCACCCTGCTGTTACCTTTTCCATCAAGGTATTCAGGAAGGACAAGGAGTTCTCTAGATATGTACGACGTTTCCGAGATCGTGCTATCTATCCCTCCTTCACCATTCTGCCTTCTTCCTTCTCGAAATATGATATGGATATCTCTGCCTTAGTTCGGAATCTTGGCTAGGAATCCCTGTTTGAGGATCAGCGATTCACATACTGTCCAGAAGCTGTGAGATTGTTTTATGTGAATCTCAAATGAGGATCTGACCCTGATCTTTACTCCTTCAAAACGACTGTTGGCAACTTTGAGATCACAGTCACTACAGATCTGCTGGCCAGTGAACTAGGGTTGCCACATGATGGACTCAGGGTAGGTGATGATGGATAGTTTCGTGACTATGATTTCGATTAATGTCACGTTCTGGATGATCTTGCTCATGACATTGGTATTTATTTCCCAAATCTGCACTCTGCTAGACGCCTACCTCATGATTTGCGGGTTCTGCACTTCTTCATCACTAGGATTCTTCTTCCTAGATCCCTCTCGAGTGCAACTTTGCTTCACACCTCCGATCTCTGGACCCTTCATCATGCCAGGTCCGGACAGGGTATCAGTTATGCCCCACTAGTCTTCTGTCACCTTGTCCAGTATGGGGATGAAAACAATGATGGGTGGTTGCCTCTGGCACCTCTTATCACTCAGCTGCTACGCAAACTGGGCATCGATCTTCGCGATAAGGTCACTCTCTGCAATGTTCATGATGATCTGAAGGCTCAACATGTCCTTTCTCACTTGGATGCCGGTGTTGGTCCCCGCAAGCCTTTCATTGGCTCAGGGGGAGAAGCTGCTACTTTAATCAAAGCGTTGGTGTCTGCTGCAGAAGTCGTAATAGATCGAGAGCTTACTGGCTATTCAAATGAGTTGAAAGGGAAACGCAAGATACCCTTGTCTTCTCTAGCTTCCCTATCCACCAGGCTGAAATTACTCAAGGATGGAGGTTGTGCCAGCACTTCCAGAATCAGAGAAGAGGATGAAGTTGTTGAAGAGCCTAAAGACAATGCTGACATTTCTGATTACGACTCCCCTCCTCACTATCCTTTCTAGAAGTATTCTGAGTCTACTTAGGATGTTGTCTAGAATCTAGGTTGATGTTACCTAGAGCAAAAAGCAGCTCTAGCTGCCCCCTTTATTGTCTTTAAATTTTCTTAATGAATAAAGTGGCATCTTGAATGGGAATTAAATCATGTTTATAGGACAGGCTGCACCAATCTGTTTGCTGAGTGTGTGCAGGTAGAAAGCAGCAGTAACAGAGCCATTGACAAGCTTAGGGGGAGCATGTTGAAGGAAGCTCATAAATGGCTCTGCTCAAGCAATTAACTAGCTCTGATTAAGCAATATAATGGACCAGAAAGATTGATTTGGAAAATTTCTCAATACCTCTCGTCGAGGAATCAAATCAGTCTACCTTACCTTCTCTGCTCACAAGCACAAAATGGAAATTCCACCCAAGAGACGTTGGGAAGCAAGAGTATAAGAAGATACAGAGTTGAAGTTGATCAACACCTTTTTCAGAATTCAAAAAGCAGTAGAGCAAGATTGGCTAGAGTCTTTTTGTGAGAAAGAGAGCATATCGGTGTGATTGCTTTAGATAGCTAGGAGGGTTGAACTTTCTGTGGTGATAGAAAGTACAGCCTAGCTAGGATTGGCTCCAGTACCAGCTTCAGGCTGAGAGTTCTTGTCTCATATCTGTAACTAAGAACTTCAAAGAAGAAGACTATTAGCTAGTGATAAGTTGAAGATCTGAAGAAGAGATCCTGCAACCGTGGATTAGTCAGCGTAGGGATCCTTATTCGCCCTGCGCTGGATACCACGTAAAAACCGACTGTGTTCATTTGACTTTTGCTTTTGTTTTTCGTTTCTAACTTTGTTTTGCAGAGTCAATTGATAAGCTCATAACAGGAGAGTTTTCGTCAGAAACAGAGTCGAGGAAGAAGAAGAAGTGAAATTGCATTGGGTTTGGAATTTTCATTCAAGGGCTTAATTCCCATAGGGTGTTTGGATTTTCTCTGTGGGCTGGGTTTAAACATACCTCAAACAGGACCAATTGTCTTTTTAATAGTCCATTTCAGATCAAACATACCTTCTGCATTTTACTCATTTTTACACCTGAATCGTTCCTCTCAACTGAAAGCAATTTTCTAGGGTTTCCTATTTCCAGGAAGAGAGGAAGGAGAGGAATCTCATCCAGGTCTCGCGCTCGACCTCCACCTACAATTACAACTAATACGATTTAAATTCTTTAGTGGTCCAGTAAGGCTCTAAAAATACCTAAAATACCTAATTATAAATTAATACGTCAATGGACGTTTAGTTAAATTATAACTAATGAAATAGCAATTATAGTAATGGTCCATTGGGATTTTAAAAAATACATAATTACTATACGATTCCTCTGGAAATCAAAGTTACAAAGTAGCCATGCATTAATAAAGATTCGAGTAGTCATTTATATATAAAAACATACATGTTTTTCATAACATGGTGTGTAAAACGTTGTGAAGTGATTACAGACCATTAGCCCTCAAAGGAGTTGGTTGAGCAAGTTTAGTAGACTGGATAATACATCATGAAGTAGAGAAGGGATTAAGAAGGAGATACATATATTATATTGGTGCGTAAATGATGCAGACAGGCGAGGTATATATGTAAACAGACCAGGTTACTCCATGCTGGGATAGAGGTGAGGGAGCAGGCGTGGCAGAATCTGAACTTGCAAAGGAGTAGCCTTTTGCAGAGCAAGGGTATAGTGCTCCGTCATGTCGACATGGCCATCATCGCCTGGCACAGTGAGAAGAAAGCCTTGAAGCAGCGTGGCGAGAGTAAGGTGTATCACTTGGTTGGCCATCGGAACCCCTGGGCAAGCCCTTCTCCCTTTCCCAAAAGGTGCGTACTCAAAGTTTTTGTTCCCAATCAGGTATTCTGGTTTAAGCTGCAGCTTGTGTTGCTGGTCCTTTTGTGCAGCTCCGGCCGAGACAAGGAATCTCTCTGGCAAGAACTCCAGCTTCGGTGGCAATTCTCAATCCGATCCACCAATCCATTAAAACTATCCAACTAATTCAATCCATTTGATCCAAATGAAAAAGTACGATTCAGTATCTATATTTTTATATTTTACATTTTGATACCTAAAATTTATTTTTATACGAAAAATATCATTGGAAATTACGTTTTGGTATCTGAAATTTTTCATCATGAAATTTTAGTACCTAAAAACTTTTCAAAATTTACACATTGGTCCAAGATTGAGGATGTCATTTAGATTCATGGATAATCCACCAATCCATTTGATCCAATCTATGAATCCAATCTATTTGCCACCTCCATTTAGTAGTAGTATTTCAGATAACTAGAAAAAAGAGTTGTAATGTGTGTATGTATGTGTAATTTTTACCATAATGGTGCCATTGATGGCTTTCTCGCGGGGAATATGGCCAAACACCTCATCGTAGTAATCCCCTTTGATAGAGGATAACAGAACGTGGATGACATCCTGATGGCGATTATCAGCAGCAGCAGCAGAAACCGCCTCGTGTTGGGATATCCAATTTGACAAGATGGGCTCGAAATCGGCAGCAACGCGTCGCATAGCCTTCACGCTCCCAGCCAACCCACGGGTCCAGCTCAGGAGTGGGATGACGTCCGAGATCACAGGCAAGCCGGCCAACTTCATGAACTCTTTGATCAGCCGTCCGATCCGTTTGGTCTCCGCCTCCTCATTGATGTCCTCCTGGTCACTACTGTTGTCGTCGTCGAACACGTGCGATTTCCTGCCTGCCATTATTCTCGTTGTCACGTTCAGCGTCAGACTTTCAAACACGGCATTCATGGCCACAACCGTGCCTGCTTGGTCGTCGTCGTCGTCGTTGCCTTTGCGGATGACGGAACAGAGGTGGCTCACCAAGGAATCAACCTCCGACTGCCGGACATGCTCTGTGGCTCGGAGGCCGTCGTGGGAGACGAGATGAGTCACCGCGAGCTTTCGAATGGTTCGCCAGTAGGCTCCGTACGGTGAGACCCCGAACCCTGCGTTGTCGAAGAGGAGGAACTTGCCGGTGCTTGTTCTTGGTCGGGAGGAGAGAGCCCTGTCGTGGGTGGTGAAGCATTCCTTCACCACCTTTGGATCGCTCACCATTCACCACCTTTGGATCGCTCACCACAAGCACCCGCTGCATCCCCAGCCATACCGTCAACACGGCGCCGTATTTGTCTGCCATGGCCGCCAACGCAGGTGCAACTAACAGAAGGAAAATTCATTTCCAACGGTCAGAATTCTCTACGACAACGTTTCGACACGAGACAAGGAGCTTAAGTGGAACGCCGCCGTTTCAGTGCTGCTGAAGGAGAAGCCATCTCCTCGGAACGTCACCGTTTCTTCTTTCCCTTTCAGTCGTTGTTTACTTTTGCCACAAGGCTGTCTTGTTTCCTTTCCAAGCTTCAAAACAAACAGCAAACTTGCTTGTCTTCTTCCTGTAATGCTCTGCCTATAAAGGCCAGAGATTGTAATGAAATGCTCAAGTTTTAGGGTTCAATCTCTTGTACCACTTCGTTGTTATGGTATCAGAGCCCGGGATAGAACCCTAGCCGCCGCCCTTCTTCTTTTCAATGGCGGACAACCAAGCCGCTCAACAACAACAGGCAGAGCAACAAAATGTGCCTGCCCCCATTCCTCTTGACCCTCTCTCAGACCCTTTCTTTCTCCATGGCTCCGAGCAGCCTGGATCTCTTCTTGTCGCTGAAACCCTTACTGCCACAAACTATAATGACTGGAGTAGGGCGATGCTCAATGCACTTGCTGCTAAAAAAAAAGTTGGCTTCATCAATGGTACTATTCCACAGCCAGAGGCTACAGATCCACGCCATGGCGCCTGGATTCGTAACAATGTCATGGTGCTTTCTTGGATACAACAAGCTTCTTCCTCAGAGATCCGCAAAACCATTCTCTCAAGTAAAACAGCAGCTGAAGCATGGTCTAGTCTACAAACAAGGTATGGATCTGGTGATTTGATTCGGATTGCTGAACTGGAAGAAGCCCTTTCTACTCTGCATCAAGGTAATCGTACCATTACTGAGTACTATGGCTATGTCATCACTCTTCGTGATGAGTTAGAGAACTACCAACCCCTTTTGCCATGTACTTGCACCCCCACTAGTCACCTTGACTGTGCTGCCATGACTCGTGTCCTGCAATATCATGAAACCAGTTATGTGATTAAGTTCTTGCGTGGGTTAAATGACAATTATGCTACTGTTAGAGCTCAAGTACTATTTGGAGAAGAACTACCTACAATCAACAGGGTCTTTCAACGCATGTTACAGCATGAAAGGCAGATCTATGGTACACAAACTGGTAAAATGGTTGCATCCACACAGACAGAATCCACTGCTCTTGGTTTTCAAGGAGGAAACAGAAGGGCTTCTACCAACAGCAAACCACCATACTGCACCTTTTGTAGAAGAGAGGGACACACTGAGGACATCTGTTTTCAGAAGCATGGATGGCCACCTGGCATGTCCAGACCTCAAGCCTCCACATCTGGAACTGTTATTATCTGCAACCATTGCAAAAAAAAGAGGTCACTCAGAAGACAAATGCTTTCAGAAGCATGGTTATCCAGCTAATTTTGTCCCTAGGTCCTCATCAACTGCTCCTCCCAGACCAAGACCAACAGCTGCTCTTCTCAGCACTCCATCAAGCAATGATGAAGTAAAGCTCACTAGGTCAGATTATGACAAACTTATGAGCTTAATGTCTTCCACAAAGACACAACCCTCTTTCTCTGCTGCTGCATATGTGACTACACCAGGTACAACTTCTTCTCCAAATCCACCAACCCCCATATTGAATGCTTTTTCTACATACCCTCCCAAATGGATTGTTGACACAGGAGCCTCTGATCACATTGTGTGCTCCTTAGCTTACCTCCATGACCCTCAACCATTACACAATATTTTCATCACTCTTCCCACTGGTGAACAAATTCAAGCTACACATTCAGGAACTGCCATCTGCAGTGATGACTTGCACTTACATGATGCCTTGTTTGTTCCAAACTTCACCTTCAACCTTATCTCTGTGAGCAGATTAACTTCTAAGAACTCATTGTGTTTAACCTTTCACTCCACCACTTGTCTTATACAGGATCTGAAGCAGACGAGAGTGATTGGTTCTGCTAAACTCTGCAATGGCCTTTATTACCTTGAAGCTTCCCTTTTTCCTAAGTTGATCTCAGCTGCCTCCACCTCCACCTTTGACCTATGGCATTTTCGATTAGGGCATGTCTCCCATTCCAAAATTCCCATACTCAATCAATTTTGTACCTCCATTGCTACTCTAAGAGATCAACCTTGTGATGTCTGTCATTTTGCTAAGCAAAAACGTCTCCCTTTCCCTACCAGTCAGTCTGTAACTTCTTTCCCTTTTGAACTTCTTCATGTAGACATCTGGGGTCCCAACTCTGTCCCAACTTATGATGGATACAAATACTTCTTAACTGTTGTTGATGATTACACTCGAATGACATGGATCATTCTTTTGCAACTTAAATCAGAGGCAAGACCTAAACTTATTGCCTTCTGCAATCAGATGGAAAGGCAATTCCAATCAAAAATCAAAATCATAAGAAGTGACCAGGGAAAGGAATTCCAAATGGAAGATTTCTTTCACAAAACAGGAATTGTTCATGAAATGTCCTATGTCCAAACACCACAGCAAAATAGTAAAGTAGAAAGGAAGCATCAGCACATACTTGCTGTTGCTAGAGCCCTTCAGTTCCAAGCATCCCTTCCTCCTGCTTTCTGGGGTGACTGTGTCAAACACTCAGTCTACCTAATTAATCGTGTTCCAACTCCCATTCTCTCAAACCAAACTCCCTTTCAAAAGCTTCACAACAAACAGCCAGACTTAACCGATCTAAAGGTTTTTGGCTGCCTGTGTTATGCCACTACACTAGCCAGCCACAGAACCAAATTTCAACCCAGGGCAAGAAAAGCTATCTTCATTGGTTATGCCCCTGGGATTAAAGGTTACAAACTGTATGACATCACCTCCCATGAGGTTTTCTTGTCTAGAGAAGTGATTTTCTATGAGTCATATTTCCCATACAAAAATTCCTCCCCTGATCATGATTCTAGTCCTCATCCAGATTTCCTCTTCCCAACCCCAAATCCAAACAACAGCATCATTCATGATCCCTCACCATCTTCTCGTTTATCACCTCCATCTCCTCCACCAGCTGCAGACTCTCCTACTGCTACACCCCATCCAGATAACACCCCTTCCCCACCTACCAGCCCACTGCCTTCTCCACCCACCTCTCCATTTGTTCCATCACCACCACCTTCCCCACCAATCCAACCAGTAAGACGTTCAGACAGACAATCCAAACCCCCTCCCCATCTTGTCCAACATTACCATTGTTATTTATCACAGGGTCCAAGCAGAACCAGTCACTCAAGTCTGCAACAGAACCAAGATTCAAGGTATTCTTTCCCTTCCTTCCTGTCATATGACAAACTTTCACCTGCTCACAAAAAATTTCTTCTCAACATTTCAAGTCACCATGAACCTCAATCTTACCAAGAGGCTTCACAACATGAGATCTGGAACAGTGCAATTGACACGCCAAAACACAACACCAAACTGCGACCAAGTGTAATCGCAGTCCGGGAATGCAGTAACAGGCAAGTTTAATTATCAACCCGGGGTCTAGATCTACTGCTTACTCCGTGATTCTCTATTATCTAGCAAACTAATTCGAGTGAGTGTTGTTTAAAGCAAAAGCAGTAAGAAAGCAGGAAATGGTTCGGTTTTCAAAAGCAGGTAAGAGTCACTCGGGATTGAGTCCCCCTAGCCCCTTAGTTAGGTTCAATTGCAATTCCCTGGGTTGATTTACTGTTGATTAGACTGCGGAAGATCCGACAGTAGCTTGGAATCTCTTAAGCTGACCAAGCCCTCTCAGTCTAACTACCCGGCAGACGACTAGTCTTCACCAGGATAGAAAGCTGAGGCTATGAACACAGAACTCCACTACTGGCGTTAAGAACACCAGTACAAAGCAGTAAACTGGCTAACTCTCGTATAGCCAATCTCCTACTATCGAATGAAGAAGCTCTAACAACCTAATCAGATTCTCTCTATCTCAGGTTGAAGCAGAAATTGAAACAAGCTGATCAGACCCAATTCAATTCATGAAACATGCATCATTCGATTAAAATCTAACAATAATATCATCCCAAGTCATTACAATCAAATCCCTAACACAAGGAACTAGGGTTCTTCATACCCAAGTGAGAGAAAGGTTCTACTCCATAGAGAGAGAAAGGAAAACAGAAATCAGAGTAGCCATACTCATAAAGATGAGGAAAATCTGCTCTGGGATGTCAATCTTCACTCCTAGGGACGCAATCTGGGCTTCAATGATGAGAAATCCACTCCAAATCAGCTCCTAGGGTTTGTTCTTCGCTCTTTCTCTCTCTAAAACTCTGTTTTTGCCCAGAAAATCGAATTCCCTCTCCTTGGCTCGAATCTGCCTTCAAAAACCCGACTCTGGGCGAATTACGGGCAGAATTACGGCCGTAATCACTTCCTGCCCGTAATTTGCACCAAAACGCGCGTTTCACTTAAGCTGGCAGAGGAGAAGTTACGGCCGTAATTTCCCAATTACTGCCAGTAATCTGGGAATTACGGCCGTAATTCCTGGGGGTCTTGCCCGTAATTTCACCACCGAGAAGAATTGCTGGGGGAATGCGCGGCCAATTAATTACGGGCATGCCCTGCTAAATTACGGCCGTAATTCTGCAAGGGCTGCCCGTAATTCACTCTGTGACACGCCAATTGACCTCCAAATGACCCGAAACTTGCGCCTTTGCTCCTCTTTACTTGCTAGGACCTGAAATACGACAAAACAACACAACCTAGCGTAAAATAGGCCAAGGAACAATCAATTCGAGCCAAAATGGACAGGAAATCAGAGTGAAAACACGTGCAAATACGATGCTATCAGCAATGCAGCTTGAAATTCAAGCTTTACTCAAAAACCATACCTGGGATGTGGTCAGTTTACCTAAAGGGGTGAAACCTATCAGCAACAAATGGATCTACAAGGATAAATTCCTCTCTGATGGTTCTTTGGAGAGACACAAGGCAAGACTTGTTGCCAAAGGCAACACTCAACAAGAGGGCATTGATTATCAGGACACTTTTGCTCCTGTAATCAAAATGACCACTGTCAGAACCTTTCTTGCAATTGCTGCCATGAGAAATTGGCATGTTCACCAACTAGATGTGAACAATGCATTTCTCCATGGAGATTTGCAAGAAGAGGTTTATATGACCCTACCAAAAGGGTATACTCCCCCTCCTGGTATTCCCAACCCAGTCTGCAAACTGAAAAAATCTTTATATGGCTTAAAACAAGCATCCAGACAATGGTTTTCCAAATTGACTGACAAATTGGGACAGGTTGGTTACACACAGAGTCAAGCAGACCATTCACTGTTTTTCAAGGTCACAGACACTAGCTATACTTGCATTCTGATCTATGTGGATGATCTAGTTCTGGGGGGCAATGATATTGATGAGATTCAATCATTAAAAGAGATTCTGCACAAGGAATTCAGCATCAAAGACATGGGAGATTTGAAATTCTTCCTTGGCATTGAAGTGGCTCGAAGCAAATCTGGAATTCACATCAGTCAAAGGAAATACACTCTGGAAATTTTAGAGGAAGCACATGTCTTGGATACAAAACCTGTGACTACACCTATGGACTACAAACTCCACCTCAGCAATGGACCAGATACAGCATTTGAAGACCCTGAACTCTACAGAACACTTGTAGGGAAGTTGATCTACCTCACTACAACACGCCCTGACATCAGTTTTGCCACACAGCAACTGAGTCAGTTCATGTCTTCACCAACAATTACCCACTACAAAGCTGTTCTTCGTGTTCTAAGGTACCTGAAGTCTGCACCTGCAACTGGTCTCTTCTTTCCCTCAACAGGCACATTTCAACTCAAGGCCTTTGCTGACTCCGATTGGGCAGCGTGTGTTGACACCAGAAGATCGACTACTGGTTTTTGCATCTATGTTGGTGACTCTTTAATCTCCTGGAAAAGTAAAAAGCAAAGAACAGTCTCCAGATCATCATGTGAGGCAGAATACAGGGCCCTCGCCCAAACGGCTTGTGAAATACAGTGGCTGCAATACCTTCTGGCCGATTTCCAAGCCTCTTCTTCAGCTCCAGCAACTCTGTATTGCGACAACCAGAGCGCCATTCACATTGCCAAAAACCCCACCTTCCACGAAAGAACCAAACACATCGAACTGGACTGCCACTTTGTTCGAAAGAAGACACAATCAGGGACTCTGAAGCTTCTTCATATCTCCTCAGCTCACCAATTGGCGGATTTGTTCACAAAACCCCTGTCTCCCGCTCCATTTCAGACACTGCTCTCCAAGCTTGGTGTGCGCAATCTTTGCCCACCAGCTTGCGGGGGGGTAACAGAAGGAAAATTCATTTCCAACGGTCAGAATTCTCTACGACAACGTTTCGACACGAGACAAGGAGCTTAAGTGGAACGCCGCCGTTTCAGTGCTGCTGAAGGAGAAGCCATCTCCTCGGAACGTCACCGTTTCTTCTTTCCCTTTCAGTCGTTGTTTACTTTTGCCACAAGGCTGTCTTGTTTCCTTTCCAAGCTTCAAAACAAACAGCAAACTTGCTTGTCTTCTTCCTGTAATGCTCTGCCTATAAAGGCCAGAGATTGTAATGAAATGCTCAAGTTTTAGGGTTCAATCTCTTGTACCACTTCGTTGTTAGCAACTGCCGGTTTGCTGCCCAGGGTCAGCAGATGGAGGTGGCCTATGATCGGCAATGCACCCGGCGGCTCGGGAGCGAAACGACGACGACGAGGTCCCTCACCATTCTCCTGAACACCGACGACTCTACTGTAGCAGCTGTGCAAGTAGGAAAGGAACGCTACCCAAAGTAGTGCGCCTGCTGCGAGTGCTACATAATATGAAGACGATATTATTTCCATATCTACGTACTCACTTCTTCCTTGTTTCACCTTCTTCTTTTTTCCCCCTTCTGTCCTTATGTTGCTCTCAAGGGATGATCGATGATAATTTGCTGATAGATAGTACTCGCGCGGTTTATATATATATACACACACGTACATGGAGTGCATGCATGCGTCCTTGCAAAATCGTAACATTTGGACTTTGAAGTGGTCAGGGGCGGAGACAGTGTCTTAGAAGGGTGTGCCGTGGCACACCCTTGGATCGGAGCTAGAACATCAAAAAATAGGGGTATTAGTTTATGCTATAGCTAGGATTTGAACGTGGAACCTTCTTACTATTAGCTTTGACATTTTCGACTAAACCACAATTACTTACATGATACACTAATACGTTTTATTGCATATATATAATTTACCGTTTATAAACTACGTGAAGAACACTCTTCGGAGTCGAATGAGTGATGATATCATGAATGATTTTTTGGTAGGATACATTGAGAGCGACATTCTTGATAGTCTGGATGATGAATGTATTTTACAGACTTTTCAAAATATGAGAACCCGTCGTGGGTCACTATAAAAAATTGATAGTCATTTACTCATTTTAATTTTTTTTAAATTGGCACCCCCTTACCCAAAATCCTGGCTACGCCACTGGAAGTGGTCGTGGTCATACTGCTCTATAATATTTGGTCGCTGATATTAGGATCTATCGACCAAGTCATTTCCTTGGCCTATACCTAATCATTATTAATAGAGTACTGACATGAAAAATTTAACTTTTGCAAGACTTTGATAAAAAAAAAAAAAATTATAACTCCATCCATATAAATAACAATACTCATTGTATATCATAATACTACTTGTATTACCCATCCACTAATACAACCAAGATAAAAGATAAATATAGACGTGTAAAACGACTATATCAAACTACTCATAGTAATCGTGGCGTTTATATATATATGGAGTGCATGCATGCGTCCTTTGGCGAACGTTGGGTTTAGTGTCTTGTTCCCTATTCCAATCCTTGCAAAATCGTATCATTCGGACTTGCAAGTGGTCCTGCTCAGACTGCTATATAATATTTTTGATGAACTAGTCTGCTCTAAATTATTTGAGTTGTCTTTTGGTGGGTTTACAATTACATAGCATAATAGCCGTATGCACGCATCTTTGTCCTCTTGCCTTTTTCTCTAGTGTTCGACATTCATGTCCTTGCAAAATCGTATAATTTGGGCATTGAAGTGGTCATGATCCTGAGATTGCTCTATAACACGCCGGCCCATCCAATATAATATGCCATCGGGGTAGATTTGAAATTCCTAAATGGAATTAGGGTTTCACGGAAGAAAGAGAAGAGCTGTGGAGGAAGAAGATAAGATCGAGTAGGATAATTGGAAGAGGAGGTTCAATGTCAGCTCTGGACTCAGTGGTCCTTCATTTATATTCAACGGTTATCCGCTAACCTCTATACAAAACCACCAGTCACAAGGCGACAGGTGGCTAAGACCACTGATAAACAATAACGAATTGGTTTAATGAAAAACGACTGTGTGTATAAGAAAGTTGTACAAATATATACGCAAAAGAATTCCACAATTTCCAAACCATTCCACTTCAGTCCCTCTCGTTCTTCAGTGATCTGCATCTGCAAGTTTAGCAGTTCTTCAGTTGTAGCAGAGTATGGTCCTGCTTCTCCAATAACCAGTGCAGGACCAGGAGGTGTTCTTCACACACCCCCTCAAGCTGGCAAGTACACATGGTGTACTTCCAACTTGCTAAATAAGAATATGAATCTCTCATATGCAAGACCTTTAGTGAACAGGTCTGCGAATTGCACATCAGTTCTTACATGCTTCAATGCAATCAATCCATATTTCAATCTCTTCCTTGTGACATGACAATCCACATCAATATGTTTTCTTCGTTTATGGAAAACTGAATTTTCCGCAATATGAATAGCAGATTATTGATTGTCACAATATAATGTCATGGGTCTGGATGACTACAAAAGAAGAACTCAAGCATTACCTTGCGCCATTGAACTTCATCACAGCACAATTGTGCCAAAGTTCTGTATTCTGCTCCAGAAGAAGACCTGGATACTTTCGTTTGCTTCTTGCTTTTTTAGGTAACCAAGGAAGATCCAAGGAAGGTGCAGTATCTAATGACTGATCTTCTTGTATCAGGGCAAGTATCCAGTGTCATTCTCAAAACTGAAAGTGAAGGACAGGAGATGTGGATGAGAATGAAGAGAAGTTATAGTGAGCGACTTAATAGAGGAAAGAAACGACCAGATTGTGGAGAGAATGATCTCGATGTACTAAATTCACACCAACATGTTGTTGATCTTTCCTAATGCAAGTACAGTAGGTTGCTTTGAACTCTCCAATCCCTAAGGCAGTACTTGGTACAATCCATGATGGTATGAGGCGACACAACCTGTTTAATTAAGGGGTTTTGGGTTTGGTCCACGAGATTGAACTCATTATGTAAGCTATGATGCTCAATGTTAACAATCGATTTTGGCCACAAAAATTATTGTCAAACTAGTACCTCGTGTGGTGGTTGTCCAGTTCTCCTTATATAAGCTGCGAATTTTCTATTTCTTAATAGTGGTGCTCCTGTAAACCAATAATTAAAGCAACCACGCCACAATTTTCTTACCCAATGCAAAGGACTTCCAAAATTATTAGGTTTTGAATCCATAAGATAGGTATAAAGCGAGGGGCCAAATTCTCATAAGACGTGCTCTATATCCGGCCTGTTTACCGTCAATGCTTGATTTGGCAATTATAGTTATCAATAAAATAAAAATATTAATTGTCTTTCTAATAAACGTGTCATCCACATCAGCTATGTAACCCTCATCCGTGAGTTTTGCTCAATATCCCTTAATTCGGGGTTTATTTTTGAACAAGCGAGCTTTACACGACTGCCATTGCACGTAAAATTAATATGCAAGCCTAAGTGAATATATTTGTTGGCCTTTTCTGTTACGTTAAATTTTATGCTAAAGGAAATAACTTCAAAGCCTCTCCTATAATGACGCATACAGTTGTCTGAAAATTACCCCATTTAACTATTCCTATGTGAGACACCCTATTTTGTGAAATAGATTCATGTTAAGGGTTTGGCATTAATAGCAGTAAGTGATTTCTTATTTACAAATGAGAATCCACCACAATGGGTGTCATTTCTTTATTTCATTGAGACATGACAAATTCCAGTTCCTATTTCATTGTTGTTGCTCCTATTCTATTCGTGAAATACTTCATTAAGTTACGTAAAATTAATTATATTAGTCATAATGCCTTCACTTGACTTTAATGAGGCATTGGCCTTACAAGGCTAGAATGTCAATAGTAAAAATAAGGTAGATGTTGTTTGGCTTTATGATGTGGAACGCAAACATAAAGTTGCATGTACTAAAATGACCTCCCTCGTATACCTTTTCAAGGATTGACATCGGTAATTAGCTTCACGTAGCGTGAAATTAAAAGGCCCCCTTGTACAAGTAGATAAATTTAAACGAATTCATCACGTATTAAAAACAATCCAAGCATTTGTCCATCTTCCGACATCTCATTTAATTACAAAATAATCGAAATTCATCACTAATTAATATGTTTACAACAACGAAAGCTAATCCACGTATATTAAGTTTCCAACACTAGCTGAAATGATCCAGAATCGTTTTAAATTTCAATAACAAATATTACTTACACCTATTGCTTGGCCCATTAGCCATAAAAGAATCACAAATTGGATCGCAAATTATTGCATTACACTAAGCCCAATCGTTTGGTTGATTGACAAATACAATTTATGATGACTATCCACGGTTCGAATGAAACTTTGTCTTCGTCATCTTCTTCCTTCGACCGAAACAAACCCTAAATATCACTGATCATCAAGCCATAGATTGACCTTCAACTAGAAGCTTCATGTGAATACTAAATAAATTAAAGGACAAGACAACAAACTATCCACCCACAATTCCATTGAAAATCCCTCTTCTTCATCTTCTTCATTTCCTCTACTTCATCTTCTTCCTCCGGTCGAAACGATCCCAGAATGGAATACACATACCTGTGCAACAAGAACGAAAAACAAAATTGATAAAGGGGAAATACAATAGACTTGTGGCTAGATTTTATGAACAAATGCGCATGCTATTTCTCTCAATCCCTATCATCTCTTCACCATGATGGCAGCCTCTAAATGCTAGAGTTCACATATGGGATGTCACCACTAACTAATCAGGAGGTCTTAGACACAGGTTCAAATGACTGGCTAGGGTCTTGGACATGGGGAAAAGGCCTTTTAGGTGGTGGAAGTATTCAAAGCAAAAGGTTCCACATTTCCCAAACACACAACCACAGTCAAACAAACCGGTATTTTCTTTCTGCTATCCTGCATTACTCAATATCTTATGAGCACAAAAGCGAAGGAGGCATAAACATCAGCATTTCCAAGCCAGACTGCTAAGAAACACTACTTAATGTGCATTATTCAGATTTTTGGTAGTGGCTCTCTTTCGCTTTCAATTTTTCTTTGTTTTTCTTTTATTTTTCTTTTCATTTCTTAAGAGAGCCACCACTTCTGCATAAATTTCAAACACCTGCCCAACTTTTAAGCACTACCTCCAACACTCACATAGACTTAAGCAGAACAGCAGAGAATATGTAAAAACCACTCTGTGGAACCTTCTAAAAGATGCAACAAGGGTGATTTTTTTTCATTATAGACCAAAAGAAAGGATAACACACGGCTCAAAGGGGCTGACTAGGGGATATGACACATCAGGACAGTCAGTTTTGGGCGTGGGCTAATCCTATGCCCCCATCATCTTAGCTAGTGACAACGTGAATGCTACACATCATGGAAGAGGGATCTATCGCACAAGAAAGAAACGAGCAGGCTCAAATCTCACATGGCTACCTATATGCTCTATCTCACATTCTGATACCCTGAACTAGATGCATAAACGACTGTCAAGAACAAGTAATCAGATCAAGTCAGATCATGTCACAGTTGGCAAGCAAACAGTTGAAAAACTGAACCCCTACATCGTTCTACTGCACATCTCAGTCCTTATCATAGGTTGTCCTAGTCGCAACAAGTTGTCATGCATTAATCCGAAAACCAATCAATTCATCAATCAAAACACAGTGCCAATATGAACAAACAGCAGTGCTTGGAGCCCTCAAATCGTAAGATTCGGACAGCGGACTAGGCTCCAAGCACCCATATATACGTTCCAATAAATACAAAGAACCCCCCCCCCCACACTTAAATGCGACAGTGTCCTCAATGGAGCGAAGGGAAGGGGAACGATGTTACCGTGAAACAGTGGGCAGGAACGTTGACTGGATGGCGGACCAGTCAAAAGCAGAGGACTGGACAAGGACCAGTCCGATGGGCACAGAGCTAGAACCAACAGAACACACACAATGGGTGAAATAAACCATAGTTCCATGTCAACAATCCACACAATGTGAACAAGCAATAAAAACAAAACACAATCCGGAGTCTAAATCTGAAAAGATGGACAAAAGCCAAGGCCCACTCGATGGGCTGGTAAAATCAGATCACAGGTCGTCGCCTCCATCGCCAGTGGGAGGCGGGTAGTAGTCTTCATGCCCCGGGGACGCCTCCCAAGGATAGCTCACAGCAGCAGGATCCATGTTCCAGTAGCTCATCATGTAATGCTGAGCAGAAATGATGCGGCGGCGACCATCGCGCTCACGGTCGAGGCGGTCGTTGATGTGCTCCTGGCCAGCAAGGATCTGCTCGTTCTGGCGGACAAGGGCTGCCATCTGCTCAGCAAGATAGATAGTGGGCTGCGCAGCAGATGGGCCAGCACCGGAAGTGGAGTCGCCCGGGGCAGAGGGAGTGGACCGAGACCTCGTCCGGCGGGTGGTCCGACGGGCTGCAGCAGCACTGGATTCTGGTGGCTCCTCACCCTCTGGTGCACGAGGAACAGGGCGAGGCAGGCCCCGGATCCAGGTCACGTTCCCTTCGTGCTCCAGTATCAGCTGGCGCCGGAGGGTGTCCCTGGAGAATGGCATCGCCTCCTGGATGAGAGTAAACTGGGAGAGATCGACGTTGTAGTACCGCGCCAGGGCAGTGACCACCGGCCCACACGCCAGACGTCGATTACACCGCTTATGCTTGGCAACGGTCCGGGCAATGAAAGAGGACAGATGGAGGTTGTCCACCTCGTGGCTCATAGAGTGCAGGCAATGCAGGGTGCGGAGCTGAAGATGACTGGTGGAGCCCTCGCTGGGGGTGTAAGATTTCCCCAGCAGCTGGTTGATGATGCGCCACTCTGGTCGCAGCTGAGTGGCCGTGGTGTGGCCCGGGGTGAAAACAGATCCAGCATACCCCGGGAGGCAGATCCTCTCGAAAAACTGCTGGTCCCGAAAGATGGGACAGTCGGACTCCTCGATGGCCAGGCGACAGGGGAACGGTGGAAGTAGCCCCAGTGCCCGACCAAAATCGTCATAGCTCAGAGAGTAGAACTCCCCTCCGAGTCGGAACTGGATGGCGTTGCCGTGCGCTCCAGCATGGGTCCGGAAATGCTCGAAGGTGGAGTAGAACTCCCAGAGGAGCTCCTTGTAAATCGGCTCCGCAAGTCAGAGGAGGCGGCGCCAAGAGAAGGCGCGAATGGCAGCCTCCATTGCCTCGCGAGCACCCAGCTCCTCGAAGACCCTCCAGTCGAGGTAGTGGTGCTGAACGACTTTGCGGCGTCGGATGTCCCGCAAAGTCACCCTCTGGTCGGCGTCGAGCATATTCAAGAACGTGTTCATTTTCCGTGGTGGGGTTGCCTCCTCACAAGCGCTTCTTTACCGTCTTTTAGCTGGACGCCAGTAGAGGAACTAAGGGTCCTCGAGCTTGATCAGCAGCTCTGCGCGCTCGACAACACCTCCCAAATATAACTTTAGGAGGTGGCCATTCACCTTGAATGGCTCGGTTTGAGCATTGCTGATCTCCACCGCACCGTGCGGGAAAACTTGGGTCACCGTGAAGGGACCCGACCACCTCGAACGGAGCTTGCCCGGAAAGAGCTTCAGGCGTGCATTGAATAACAGAACACGGTCACCGA